CCATCTGGCTTCAGATGGAGGTTGAGACTTGAACATTACCTTGTACTGCTTCTGCGGTCATCCTCTGCCACCTGTAGAGAAATAACCATGCTCCAGTATTTTCTCAACTTCATAGCCTCCATTCATAGAAGGTGGAAACATGGATGTCACTTTCAACATAGGGCAGCAGTTTAGATGCATGAAAGACAAGGTACGTCCTTAGGTGTGGAGGTATATCAATGCGATAGGACGGTCCGTCTGCATCTCCAATCACCTTGAGAACTTCCCAGGGTCCAAAGTAGACAGGTAGCAGTTTCTGAGAAACATTTTCTTCTAAGGAAAACTCTTTAGATTTAACCCAAACAAAATCTCCTTGAAACTGTGAAGGTCGGCGATGCTTATTAGCATGTTCAATCATTTGTAATTGGGCCTTTTGTATGTTTTTCTTTACCTTCTTAATGTCTTCTTCATATAGAACTGCAAACTCACGTGTACCCGGGGGTAGCCTTTGAATCTGATCTCTGGTCAGGGCGTCAATGGGGCGTCGAGGCTTCCAACCCTTATGCAGTGCATTCGGTGTTCTACCTGTGACAGTATGCACGCTGTTGTTATAAGCACTAGCAATTTTGGGTAAGTTCTCCTCCCAATCAACCTGATCAGGTCGGACATACATTCGCAAAAGTTGTTGGCATAGACGATTCATTTGCTCAGTTTGACCATTGGTTTCAGGATGTCTGCCTGACGACATGGTCAACCTGGTGCCATAGACTTCCATCAACTTCTGCCATTGTAGACTAGTGAACCGAACATCTCTGTCATAGACAATGGTTTTCGAAAATCCATACTCAGAAACCCATCGCATCTGGAATTTTTGAATCACTAGTTCGGTTATAGCTTCAGCAGGCAAAGGAATGAACATAGGAAACTTAGAGAATCTATCGACGATGACCATTACTTGACTGTTGCCGTTTCTACTCTTAGTGAGGCTCATGAAGTCAATAGAGATAGACTCACCTGGCTCACTTGGAATAGGCAGTGGTCTCAGTAGTCCCCATCGGATTCTCATGTGAGGTTTTGTTCCTCTGACAGACAAGACAAGTCAGCACATAGGTTAATACATCTTCCTTCATTCCTTTCCATTCAAATCTTTCTCGGACATCGGCGTATGTCTTCTTGAAACCAAAGTGTCCTTCTGCATCATGGCATTCCCCAGTGATTAAACTTTTAATCGGTTCGTGGCGAGGAACACACAATCGTTCTTCGGTTTCGTCTATAAAGAAGAGTAAGCCATCAGTCATTCGATACTCTGGGAATAGTTCAGGGTTCTTTCTTAGAGTCTCAATGATGGGACTCCAGATGGAATCATTTTCATAACCCTTCCTTATCTGTTCCTTCAATTCATTCCCAATATCGAGATACGAGACAATTGTTCCAAAGAAATCTGCACGCCTAGACAAAGCATCCGCAACCACGTTAGACTTACCTTTGATGGTTTTCACCTCAAAGTCAAATGTGTCAAAGAATGCGGACCACCTTACCAGCTTGTCGGAGAGTCTAGGTTGAGTCTTGATCCACTTCAATGTAGAGTGATCAGAGTAGACAGTAAAATGCCTTCCCAACAAGTAGTGTTTCCAGGTATCTAGTGCAGCGACTAAGGCGTACAACTCCCTTTCATAAGTGCAGTTGGCGACTTTCTCTAACGGAAGCCTCCTGAACATAAACTCAACAGGTCTATATCCCTTACCGTCGTCTTGTTGTAACACAGCACCAATTCCATACTGACTTGCGTCAGTCGTGACGATGAAAGGAAGAGAAGGATCAGCAATTTGTAAGACAGGGTAGTGAGTCAAAACAGATTTCAGTTTCCTGAATGACGACTCACAATCTTTGTCCCACAACCAAGGTTTTCCTTTCTTTAGCAGTCTTCTCATAGGAGCAGCTATCAAGGAGAAGTTTCTGACGAACTTCCTATAATAACTAGCAAGTCCTAGGAAAGATCTGAGTTCAGTTATAGTTTTAGGTTGTGGCAATCTCGGATTGCTGTAATTTTCTTTTCTTCTAGTCTTAGTCCTTCTTCATTCACTATATGCCCTAAGTATAGCACTTCAGGCGTAGCTAATTCAGATTTCTTAGGATTCAGTTTGAAGTTACCTTCACGTAACTTCTGGAGAACCATTCACAGATGTTTCTCGTGGTCTTCCAGTGTTTTACTGTACACTAGGATATCATCGAGATAGACAATTATGAATTGGTCCAACCATTGACGAAACAACTCGTTCATAGACCTCTGGAAGGTTGCAGGGGCGTTAGTCAGACCAAAAGGCATTACCACAAACTCGTAGTGACCATACCTTGTTCGAAACGTCGTCTTGTGTTAATCTTCAGGAGCCACCTCGATCTGGTGGTACCCTGACTTGAGATCAATCTTGCTGAAATACCTGCATCCCTGTAGTTGGTCTAATAGATCGTCAATGCGCGGAAGAGGTTCCGCGTTTTTCACAGTGACGGAATTCAACCCACGATAATCAATACACAAGCGAAGTTCACCTTCCTTTTTGGGCACGAACAAGACAGGTGCACCATAAGGAGATGAGCTAGGGCGAATCCATCCCTTGTTAGTAAGTTCCTGACGCTGTTTCTGTAATTCCTCAAGTTCCCTGGAAGACATACGGTAAATGGAACCTTTGGGAATCTTGCTTCCGGGAATAATCTCAATAGTGTGCTTGATAGCACGCTCAGTGATTCCCGTCGGCTCAGTCTGCAAGTCCTTGTACTCATCAAGAAGTTTTTCAATAGAAGGTGGGTACGATGAAGAACACTCACCTACACGCTTAACAAGCACCATCATCACCTCATGATCCAACTTCTTTGTTACCATCGATCGGAAAGTTGGGTAACTCATACAGCAAAAAGACACAGTAGAGTCAGAGCCAGACTTATGGTACAACTTTATCACACACATTTCAGACTTATCGTCCTTAAGTTTCACAATTTTATCTTTGAACTTGACTTCAAGGTCGGCTTCCTCATGCCAATCCATACCCAAAATTAAGTCAAAGGGTAATTCTTTTTCAATTAGGAAGGATACCTCATGTAGAATTCTCTTACCCTCCTTTGTCCTGAAATAGCACTTGACACGATCGACGTATTGAGAGACAGTGATCGTGCTCTTATTAGCCAGTATACATGTGATAGGTCTACGTAAATCTTTTACCTTCATTCCCAGATGCAATTTTCGAGTTGCCTTCTCTGAGATATACGATCCCGGATCTAACAAAGCACCTACTCACGTGTGCGCAATCTCAACATCCGCGATCATTAACTCACCCTTTGATTTTGCTTTCTTTGCCCACGAACTCCGTAGTGCTATCAGTTCATTGTCGAGTTCGTCAAGGGAATTGTCCAGTGAGACAGAACATAGCACAGTGTCAGGGTGATCTGGACGACGGGCGAAAAAAGAGCCATCCTCTGCCTTGAGAGTCGAAGGGATAGAAGGGGTTGTAGGCGCCTTACCTTTTTCTTCGTCTATACTCTTCAACTCAGTAGGAGCAGATGCTACTCCTACTGGCTGGTCGTTTTTGGGTTACGGATAAGTGGGCACTAGGCTATCACATGCCCCACGGTGCCACACTTGAGGCACTGGCGGTTGTCCATCTTGGACTGCCACTCCTCCCTAGTCATGTTCATTTTTTCCCAAGGTCTCCCGAACGCAATTCCGGAATGCTCGGGAAACGAGTGTGGCCTCTTCTTCTTCTTCCACTGGTTTTGGCCTCCCCTGTTGGCCATTACGGCAGTGACATCACCCTTCCCAGATTCACTGTCATCGTTACCTCCTCCTCCCTCAGACTCATCAAGAGGTAACTTCTCTATTGTTTCGTCGTCGAACAACACAAGCACGCTTTTGCCGCCAAAGGACCCGCTTGTCGTACCCACCAACCGGTCCTGACTTAACAACCGAAGCGTATGAACCTTTAACGTGTGCGGTTATCTGCTCTCTCTTAAGAGCAAGGTCGCGGAACTGCCGATAATTATACTTACCAGATTTCGATTCAGCCACGAGCTGTCCACGAATGGGCTCGGGCAACGCTCCTGAGTAAATGTATAGGACTTGGTTATCCTGCGAATTCAATCCAGGTACCTGCAACAGATGATCAACTTCACGAGACAACCCATCGACAGAAGTCCAACATTTATGGCTAATGGTGGTGAGCTCGTCAAAAGCCTTGTCGGTCGTCGTTTTGTCAAGGAACCTCTCCTTTATCTTTTGGAGAAATTGCCTCAACGTCAGGGTCTTTGACCACTCACCAATATCCTCAAAGCCAACGACATTGGCCTCGGCCAGCACCCATTCCTTGGCCACTCCTCCTAAAAAAGATGTTGAGAAAGCAACCCGACTCTCGGGTTCCACGGGTGCGGTACTACAGTAAGTTTGGATTTCGACAATCCACAGCAACAAGTTTTCATCCTTCTTGTTACTGTAGGTCAATGGGAACTTCATTTTCACCTTTTCCTTCTTCTTAGGCTTTTCCGCTTCCTTCGCCGGTTCTTCTTTCTTTCTGGTAGGTTCTTCTTTCTTTTCATCTGGCTTCTTAGGTTCTTTCTTGGAACCTTCCGGTTTCTCGGGCGTGACCCGTTTCATTGCATCCTTCATTAGTTTCTCCTGGGGTTTCTTATCTTCTTCCCCTTTGGCCACCTCCTCATACACCACCTTACATACTTGCAGCGCACCACGGTGCGCGTCTCAGCGCACGAGTTGCGCACGCAGCGCACCGCACCCGGTGCGGCGCATCCGATTAACTAGGGTGGGAAAAAAAAAAAAACGGGGGGTGGGGTTTGAGTTCGGTGCCTCCCCGGCCTCCCAAAATTGAAAAACAGGCCGCGCCGGCTTCGAAACCGGTCCTGCCCGCGGCCCGAAGTTTTGTTTTTAGGGGGAAAGGTTTGCAAAATTCGAATTCGAATTCTGCAGGCCCTCCCCCCCAAAAACAAACACTTCGGGCCACGGGCGGGGCCGGTTTCGAAGTCGGCGCTGCCCATTCTTGTGCAGGTTCGTGACGGCCGACCGATGACGACGAGGGAGGGAGGAGCCGACGAGGACGACGACGGGGGACTGCCAACTTCGAAACGACGACGGACGACGGCGAAGGAGGGAGGAGGGCCACCGACAAGGACGACGACGGGGGACTGTGGACGAGGACGACGACGGCGAAGGAGGGAGGACGTCTACTGGCAAGGACGACGACGACAAAGGAGGGGGGAGGGACGACTACGAACCACGACGAGGACGACGAAGGGGGGAGGAGGGCTGACGAAGGAGGGAGGAGGGCTGACGAAGGAGGGAGGTGGGGGCGGCAGCGACAGTGCCAGCACTCGGCGGCGGGAGGGAGCGGCGGGAGGCAGCGATCAGAGTGCACCGGGCGATGATGGTGGTAGGCACCACCAGCTCTCTCTCTCTCTCTCTCTCTCTCTCTCTCTCTCTCTCTCTCTCTCTCTTTCCTCCTTT